GTGGTGGTGGGTTTTTGTAGTGGTGGTGGTGATGGTGAGTTGTGGTGGTGGTGGTGGTGGTGGTTGTGGTGGTGGTGGTGGCTGTGTTGCGGGTTGGTGGTTGTGGTGGTGGGTTGAAGCGGCGGTGGTGGTGGTGGTAGTTGTGGTGGTGGTGGTGGTGGTAGCGGTGGTAATCGTCGCTGCATCCCCGCCGTCGCCGGCGCCAGCGCCGGCGGCGCTGCTGGCCGCCGCCAGCGCCGGCGCTGGCGCCAGGGAGTTGGGGGGGAGTTCCTTGGTTGCCTCTGGTCATCGTCGCTGCGTCCCCGCCGTCGGCGCTGCTGGCGGCCGCCAGTACCCCGGCGCCGGCGCCGGCGTCATGGCCGCCGCCAGCGCCGGCGCCGGCGCCATGGAGGGGAGGGGGAGTTTGAACCCCCCCCCCCCCCTGGGCGCCGGCGCCAGGGTGGGGGGAGGGGTTTTGAACCCCCTCCCTTCTTTGGGTTGCCTCTGGTCATCGTCGCTGCGTCCCCGCCGTCGGCGCTGCTGCCTGCCGCCAGCGCCCCGGCGCCGGCGCCGAAGGGGGGGGGGGGTTGAACCCCCCCCTTTGGGGAGTGGGGGGGGGTCGGGAGGGGAAGGGTTTGGAGGGGAGGGGAGTCCCGTCCTGGTTTTGATCGACAACGCCACATGTTGGGGGGGGCCACCCTCCGGCTCGACACGCGCCGCCGAATGTTCCCAAAACGAGCGCGTGTATACACGTTTGTATTTATATACACACGTGTACGTGCACACCCATGTATGTGTGTATGTGTATACACATATGTATGTTTGTGTATATATACATATATGTATATCCGTAAGGGCTTCGCCCCCTGCCGCCGGCCCCCTTGTCTATCATAATGGAGTCTATCAGAGTCGCGTCGGTGCGTTTCGGCGCTGCTTTGGCGCATCTGGGAACATCATGGGGGGTGGATATGAATCATCAGCGCATGTTGAGACGTTGGCGTTGTCCTAGTGGCCTTCGGCCCATCCCCCTACCGTACCAGGGTTGTGGGTCTGAAGCTTCTTGTATATGTGTCAAATGTTATGGGGAGCCTTTCGGGGGCCTCTTAATTCCTCGTGACGTATCTTTTGGGCCTCTTGCTGGCCTCTTGGGCGCGCCCTGGGCGCCTCTTGGGGCCTCTTGTGTCCGCTTGGCGGCCTTTGGGGGCCTCCTGGGGGCTCCTCGAGGCACAGAAATCGAATGTTCGTTTCGTGGTCCCCTGCTTGGGCGATACATACCGGTACACCGATACCAATATCGAGATTTGCCGGTATACCGATCTACACCGATATGTGCATTTACCGATCGGTTGACAAGCATATACACATATTGATGGTGACACCGACAGGTAGATAGTGTGGCCTGTAGATCGTGATAGCAATCGAGATTGTTCGATGGATGGAGACGGTTGTCCCGATGGTTGTACTGTCGTTGGTTCCCATGTACCCCCCGTCTCCCGATCGGCCTTTGGCCAGCCTTAGAGGTATATATGTATATGTATATATATACATATTTGATATATGATATACACACACACATATATATATATATATATGTGTGTGTGTGTGTGTGTGTGTGTGTGTGTGTGTGTGTGTGTGTGTGTGTGTGTGTGTGTGTGCGTGTTCAAATAAATCCGAAAGATGCCTTGTGGGTTTGCGGGTGCCCCCGGTCCCCGGAGCCCTCAGAGAACCCCGAAACAGCTCTGGAGGACCCCTGGAAGGGCCCGAAACGGCACCGGAGCTCCCCAGAAGAGCCCCGAGACGGCCCATGGAGGCCCCGAGACGACCCAAGACAATTTTCAGGCGGTCCAAGATGTTCTCCAGACGGCCCCATGAGCCCCAAAAACGCCCCCGGACGGCTCCGGGCAGGTCCAAGGGGTCCCCCGCAAGGGCTCCATCAAGCAAAAATCGTCACAGTCCCTTCGGAAAATTGACATTTTCAGCAGATTCGGCTTATTCGTTTTCGAAGCGTCGAAAACAGCCCCAGCGGCCTCCAATGTCGCCCAAGACGGCCCCCAAGAGGGCCCAAAGATGGCTCCAGACGGGCCCAGGACGGCCCAAGAGGCGCCCAAGACGACCCAAGAGGACCCCACGAGAGGCCCAAGAGGGGCCCAGGACAGCCCCGAGACGTCCTATGGAGGGCCCGAGACGACCTCAGGCGGTCCAAAATGTTCTCCAGACGGCCCCATGAGCCCCAAAGACGCCCCCGGACGGTTCCAGGCGGGTCCAGGGGGTCCCCCGAAAGGGTTCCATCAAGCGAAAGTCGTCACAGTCCCTTCGGAAAATTGACATTTTCAGCAGATTCGGCTTATTGCTTTTCGAAGCGTCGAAAACAGCCCCAGCGGCCTCCAATGTCGCCCAAGACGGCCCCCAAGAGGGCCCAAAGATGGCTCCAGACGGGCCCAGGACGGCCCAAGAGGCGCCCAAGACGACCCAAGAGGACCCCACGAGAGGCCCAAGAGGGGCTCAGGACTGCCCACGATGGCCCAAGACGGCCCGATAGGCGCCCAAGATGGCCCAAGACGGCCCCAAGACGGCCCGCGAGGCGCCCTGCCGGCCCAAGAGGGCTCTGAGAAGCCCCCGAGGAGCCCAAAACAGCCCCCATAGAGCTCCCAAACGGCTCCCAAGAAGCTTCAAAATTGCTTCCAACAGAGGGGGGCGGCCCCTCGCAGGCGCCAAAAAATGTTTTGACGCTCTGGTGGCTCTGGGGCTGCCCCGCTGCGCTCCCTACTTTGCCGCGACGCCGTTCCGACGCCTCCGACGCGGCCCGAGACGGCGCCGCGTTTGCCCGAACCCGCTCCCGCGTCCGCCGCGATCCCGGCGCGAATCTTCCAACGTTGCTCAGGCCTGGACTCCTGAACTTCTGCCTCTTGCGAAGCTCGAACACTTCGGCCCCCGTTTCGATGCATTGGGCGCCTTCGGTGGGGGAGCAGCATTAAAACAAGCTTCAAGGGATCTAGGGCAGTGGCTGGCAGCTTCGCACCACCCAGCGCGCGCCACCATGCTTCGATCCGCCCAACTTCGTGGATTTAATCCACGGGTCCACACTAGCGAATCTATATATATATATATATATACCTATCTATATATCTATATATGTATCTATATATCTATCTATCTATCTATCTATCTATCGATATATCTATCTATATATATATATATATGTTTATATCTATCTGTCTATATGTATCGATCTATCTATCTATATATATATGTATATCTATAATTTTATATATCTATATACATATCTATATATATATATATCTATATATCTATCTATCTATCTATATATCTATATATCTATATATATATCTATATATATATATCTATATATCTATATATCTATATATCTATATATCTATATCTATATATATATATATATCTAAATATATATATCTAATATATATATATATATATATATATATATATAGCTATATATCTATCTATCTAAATATGTATATATATCTATCGATCTATCTATCTATCTATCTATCTATCTATCTATATATCTATATATCTATCTATCTATCTATCTATCTATCTATCTATCTATCTATCTATCTATGTATACAAGTAAGGGCTTCGCCCCCTGCCGCCGGCCCCCTCTCTCGGAGAATGGGCCATGGAAGAGCGAAGTCATGAGGCTTTGGCTTCACCGTGAAGCAGCGTCGGGACTTCATGCGAAGGCGATGGGTAATTGGCAAGACGAATGGAGATTGCGAGTCTATTGTTGTACTCGCTGTTGCATTTTCCATTTGCTCCCGTATGCTGTGCCCAAATCTTTTCCCGAATTTGAACATGTTGGAAGTCTCTTGTGTCCTGACCCCGCCGATCTGCGTGAGGGGTGCCACCGAATTTCAGAACTGTGGCAACTCCCTTGTGTTTTTGGGCCCTGACCCCGCCGATCTGCGTGAGGGGTGCCACAGAATTTTAAACGATGTGGCAAATCCTTTATGTCTTTGGACCCTGACCCTGTCGATCCGCGTGAGGGGTGCCACCGAATTTCAGACATGCTGAAATCTCATGTGTTTTTGAACCCTGACCCCGCCGATCTGCGTGAGGGGTGCCACCGAATTTCAGAAATGTAACAAATCGTTTGTGTTCTTGGACCCTGACCCCGCCGAAACGTGTGAGGGGTGCCGTTTAATTTAAAATGGGGCAAATCCAATGTGTTTGTGGACCCTGACCCTGCCGATCTGCGTGAGGGGTGCCACCGAATTTCAGAAATGTATGAAATCCTTTGTGTTTTCGGACCCTGATCTCGCCGGTTTGCATCAGGGGTGCCACCGGATTTCAGAAACGTGGCAAATCCCATGTGTTTTTAGACCCTGGTTCCGCCGATTTGCGTGAGGGGTGCCACTGAATTTTAAACCAGTGGCAAATCCCATGTGTTTTTGGACCCTGACCCTGTCGATCCGCGTGTGGGGTGCCACCGGACGTCGGAAATGTGGCAAAGCCAATGTGTTTGTGGACCCTGAACCCGCCGAAACGCGTGAGAGGTGCCAGCAAATTTTAGAAATGTGGCAAATCCTATGTGTTTTTGGACCCTGACCCCGCCGATCTGCGTAAGGGGTGCCACCGAATTTCAGAAACATGGCAAATCCTTTCTATGCTTTTGGATCTGACCCCGCCGATCTGTGTGAGGGGTGTCAATTTTTAACCACCCCAGCAATTCAGAGCACACGCTCAGGGCGTGCTAAACCTGCCCGTTTGGGCCTCCCCCCCCCTCGCGCGGTCCATCAACAAGGAACAGTAAGCAGCAAGAAGCAGAATTGTAACAGTGGAAACAGGAAGCTGCAACTGGTACAGGAAACTGCGAAGCTTCGGCCTACAGCCTGGTAGCCCCACAAGAGGGCCGGCGGATATATAGGCATCGGCAGAATGCAGTAACATTGTAGAGGTACCCTCTCGTTTGGGGAACTTACCATCATTTCCTCCAGTGCCATTGTCCGCCTGTGATATTGAGTACTTCCTGTTTGCGCCAGGGGTCTACACTCACCACGGAGATGTTGACGCACTGCCCGCACACCGCTTTCAGGATTGTCTTGCTGTGTGTGCTCTTTGTTGTTGCCATTTCGAAGGCAATGCGTATCCAGATGCGTTGCTGGACAAATCCGCCAGCACAGCAGAATGCAAAGCGCCAGATTGGGTACATAGCTCTCTATATTAGGCCAGCGTGGTGCCCACAGTGGGTTATTGCATTGCTGAGGTGGAAACTATGCTGTGTAATATGTGCGATGTGAGCTATGTGATTGTAAACTATGTTGTGTAAATAATGCTGTTTAAGTTTTGTGGTGGAGCCGCGCGTGTTCATGTAAACGTTGAGGATCTGGGCGAGGAGGAGGAGGGAGGACAAGGAGGAAGAGGAGGAGGAAGAGAAGGAGGAGGAGGAGGAGGAGGAGGAGGAGGAGGAGCGAGGAGGAGCGAGGAGGATGAGGAGGAGCGAGGAGGAGGAGGAGGAGGCTCGAGGAGGAGGAGGAGGAGGATATGTGGCCAGATGTCTCTCCAGCGCTCGGCCCTTGTATTGCCCTACTGGCTGGGATTCCGCATGCGTCTTCAGCACGTGGCTTCTGAATGCTCTGCACGTGTGGCTCCAGCCATGTGTGTGTGTGAGTGAGTGTGTGTGTGTGTGTTCCAGCATCCTGGTAGACGTGTTGCGCCTTTGAGGCACGTCGTCGCCCTTCACTTGCACCTTCTCATCTGTGCCACACGACGTCAGGACTGCTGGCGCAAGATTTGGCAGTCTCAGGTGATGTGTCCGAGCGAGTGCAGGGCAAGTAGCCTCGAACGTCGCCCATGAAGTCTGCCCCTTGGTGGCGTAGTTAGAGTCATTATTTTTCTTGGCATACTCATCAAGTGATGCGCCCAGGCTTTAGCGCTCTTTGGGCATCACTCCTTTTCCAGCAGTTGCGCCCTAGACGAAGTTTTCGCAGCGCTGGACTACTTGGATGTCTCTCTACACGGAAGCAGGATCAGGAGGACCCAGGATTAATGTGCAGGCGTGTCCGAACAGCCGAGCATCTTCCGCGTTCAATCGCACACGGTATGTTTTGGTCTCGAAGGTCTCGTATCCAAAACCGTTTCCATGTTTAGCATGTTTTGCAATATCGAGGCCGTTCGGCCCATGCTCCTCACTTGCTCGCATGATATACCAGTACCAGGGCGTGTTCAAGCATGACCAGACGTGGAGCTATTGATGATGTACGGCGATTGTTGTGAAGCGTCTGTGACACTATGAGGGCGTATTTGCGAAGTGGTTGCGATTATTGTGAGGATATTGAGGCAACACACAAGAGTAACAGTGGATACATGAGTACAACTGTGGATCGTGTGATTTCTGTGATGTGCTTGTGGCAACATGTGAACGCATTCGTGAATCGCATCGGCAATCGCCGCACACCTGAAGTGCTACCCTTGGGAACGGCGGACCGTCTTGTGTCTTAGCCTGTATGTTAACGACTATCCGGGCCCGTTTTGACAGCGAGATCGAAACAGCAGAGATCGACACGCCACACGCCTCCCCCAGGGTGCATGTCGATCCGATCGATCCGATTCCATATGGATTCTGGCCCGCCCGACCCGATTTGATTCGGACATTCCGAATATCCGATGCGACTGGATATTTGTATGGCGTTGCTGTGCATCTTGGCGCGACCGATTCGGTTCTATTTCGGCTCCGTGCCGATGCAGCGCGATCCGACGCATATTCCGGATTCGATCAGATTTCCCGATTCGATGCTGACTGATCCTGCGCTCTCCTCCAATTGTGCAGAGCTGAACCCCTTCACCCCCCCGCCCCACACCCCCACTGTGCAGAGCTAAACTCGTGGACCGAGCAGCGCGGGCTGCGTCAGCACCCAGCATTGTATTCTGGCGGTGGGGGTGGCAGGGAAGGAAGGGGAGGAGAAGGAGGAGGAGGAGGAGGAGGGATCCAAGTCCAGCCGAATGCGAAGGAACGGGAGGGAGCCGATTTGGGCACCCTTCCGAATTGATTTCCTCAGAGGTCGATCCAGAAGGATCAACCCAGGGCACCCGAATTGATCAGCCACGTGTTGATTCAGAAAGCGGAAGCCAGACCACCAGGGCCTTATCCGGCCGACAGGGGGCGGCAGGGCGTCAGCCAGGAGCGGAAAGCATTGACGCCAGCATTCCCGACGTTAGCACGGTCAGCATAACGGGCGCAAGCACCGACGTGCTCAGAGACGCTAGCACCAACGATGAAGCCTTCACCAGAGTGCCTCTAATCCCTGACATGCTCTCGCGGGCGGAAACCGTGACACGCGTTTCGGCCGTCTATGACTTGGTGGTGCCGGGTGCCGGGTGATTCGGAGGCGCTGGGTGCAGGGTGACGCCAGTTTCGTCGCCGCCTCCGATAGCAGCTTCGACTCCCGCTCCGACTACCGCCCCGGTTAGGCGACAACCAGCGGAACTTGCAGCATGTTGTTGATGATTTTCGCAGGTTCGTTCAGCACCACGGCCAAAAGTACAAGCGCACTCATCAGGGCATTCAGCTGGACGATTGTCAGCTGGACCAGCGCACGTCGCTGACGACGACCACGAGTGCCCACACGGTGCCAGCGGTTACCACAGGCAAGTTTGTCAGCCCCACCCCAGCAGCTGCAGTCCCTGACGCTCCTGCAGCTTCAGGACAGGTCGGGCCCTCAAGCCTGCCCTGCTCGGTTGTGGTCTGCCATTGAGTTCTGGGGGCCTCTTGCCCGGAGCAGACGGACTGACACAGCTCATTGGCGGGGCGTTTTTTTGGCGGGGGGTGGTTTTGTTTCTCCGGCAGGTTCCCCTCATGATCTGCTCTCAGGACACGTCCTGGGCTCCATCAGCACGGCGATCTCCGACACCGTCTGCATCTGCGACACCACCTCCACCACGGCGTGCGCGATACTGAGGCCCCGGGCGAGGAGGCCCTGGGCTTTGCTGGTGAGGCCGCGCACCGACTCCGTGACATTTCAGGCCTTGGTGTTCACGTTCCCTCTCCTCCTCCTCCTCTTCCTTCTCCTCCTTCCCGCCTCCCTCTTTCATTTCGTGCGCGAACAGCATGTTTAGGCCTAGCGCGCGGCCGCGGTTGGCCGACCGCTCGGGCCGTTCTTGCCGGTCGGAGCTCGTCCTTTCGCCGCATGGGTTCGGCTTGCCGATGCTGCGGGGCACTGCCGTGCCTCATCAATTTAGTGATGTACTTTACAAGATTGGTAAGAGTGTGCGCCCATATCAGCGCACACCGCCCAGCCGGCGCTAATGTTGACCGTTCTTGCCCCGATCCCATTGGCTTTTTGCTTCCGCCTCCCGTGTGGTCGAATGTTTGGCTGATCTGCTACCGTGCGCGTCGCCGTTGGGTTATAAGTTTCATTTTTCATTTTTGTACTGTGCACTGTTGTTTTGCTTGTCGTTGTGTGCTGTCTAATTAATGGTCGGTGGGACTTCGATGAGATGCACACGCAGCGCCATTGTTAGTCACCCTCGCCTCGCACTGTTCCTCTTCCTCCTCTGCTTTCGTCTCTTGGTCTCGTTTTCTTCCTTTCCGCCTGAGGGCCAGCAGCCACGCTAGTGGACCCTCTAGCTTCTTGTCGTAGCGTAGTTCGGAAGCGCGGTCTTTTGCGAGTTTTGACGCATGCGGGCCAGAGGGTTCACTGACTTCGCTCGTGTGTGCGGTTGAAACATGTCCAACAAGAAGGGCCCGATGCATTCCTACAGCCTGCGCCTCGTGCAACTAGTGACTGCTCTGGAAAAGATCATCACTCACCTGCGCAATACCATAATCATTGCTCAATCATCGAAAGCTTCGGTGATGAGCATGCTTTTTCACCACCACCACCGCCACCACCATAGGTTGGAGGGGGAGGGGGTCCTCCTCCTCCTCCTCCTCCTCCTCCTCCTCCTCCTCCTCCTCCTCCTCCTCCTCTCAAGCCACCTGGGCCCAAACCATTTTGGCAGGTGCCCCAGGCCTCGACCCCGCCACGTGGGGGCTTGAGGGGCAGGTCGTCGCCCGCTTCCCATCAGATTCTCTTTCAGTCCGATTGTGAGGCGGAAGATCGGTCTGGCTAAGATCGAGATGTCTCAACCTTGGTCCAAGTGCAAGGGCTGCGGAAGGGATGAATACAACCATGTCTTCCTGCAGCACGACAGGCGCTGCCGCTGCGGGCGGCAAATAAAGCTGTACCAGCCGAAGACCAAGGGGGGTGACCAGACCTCGCAGGCATTGCAGCTCAGCGTCGTGAACGGAGCAACCAAGTCGAGCACCGACGGGGGCAAGGGCAGCAAAGTGGTAGATGAGATCTCGCTGATGGAGAAGACTCTGACTGCTACGACTGACCCGCTCCTCAGGAAGCTCCTCACCGACGAGCTGCAGAAGAAGCGCGAGGCTCTCCGCCCCACGATGTCCCCCGAGGAGCAGATCAAGCATGCCTCGGGGGTTTGGAAAGATGCTACGGTTCGCCATGACCAAGCAGTTCAGGGCGTTCTCAAAGCACGCGAGAACTTAGAGAAGGCGGAGGCCAAGGAACGGGAGACGTCGCTCATTCTCGCCCGCGCCGAGGAGGCGAAGAGGGCGGCGGCGGCCACCTTGGCCAAGCAGATGGGCCTGACCCAGCCCGCTGCCACGCCAGCGGCGCCTGAGCAGAAGGTGCTGTTCAAGCTCGGCATAGACGACCAGTTCTTCCAGGAGCTCGAGAAGCTCGACTTGGAGGGCGACGAGCTTGCCAAGCTCAGGGACCTCGAGCGGCAGCTCCGCGAGGCCCAGCAGCTCGTGGAGGGCAAGCACACGGAGGTGAAGGACTGGCAGGCTCGCACCGCCGAGCTCAAGGCGGCCATCACCGAGAGGATGGCCAAGAAGAGGAAGGGCTCCAGCGGGGCTCCCGCGGCGGCTCCGCCCCAGCAGGGCCAGGACCAGGGCGCGACGCCCAGCGGCCCTGCCGCCGAGGCGACGGCGCCCGCGGAGTCCGAGGAGGACAAGCAGAAGAGGATCGAGGAGGTTGCGGCGCGCATCTCCGCGGCGAAGATGGAGGCGGCCAAGGCCGCCCGTGCGGCAGCCATGGCTGACGGCCCAGGGGCTGCCGCAGTGGGCGGCGGGCCCCAGTGAGGCCAGCAGCCGAGGCGCGCCGCCCCGCCGAGTCCGTCGACTGGCACAGCGGCGCCTGCCTCGGCTGAGGGCGCTGCCGACTCTGCGTCGGCTGGGGACGAGGCCAATGTATGTTCTATGTTCTTTGCTAACATCACTGTTGCAGGACCAAAAGCTTGGGACTACATTGTCTCTGATCAGCATCCAGTTTTCAATTACGTGCAGCTGGCGGAGACGCATATCGACTCCAACGGCATGGCCGAGTGGCAGAAGAAGGCTCGCCAGGCGGGCCTGAGACTCCTTGGCAACCCAGCTCGCCCTAACGGACTCCCTGTCCAAGCCGGCTTTGAACATCGCTCCAATGAGGGAGGTGAATGGACGCTGGCGCAAGGGCATCGCAGTATTTCGTCATTAGCTAGTACATGGTCCCAGCTATTCGCTCCAGGTCATCAATTGCTCGATGGCTTTCACGCGACGGTGGTGGACATGAAGGGTTTTTCTTTTGTGGCAGTGAGCTTCTACGGCTTCTCGGGGGAGGGCTGGTCCGCTCGCAATGCTCAACGTTTCGCTAAACTTGGAGGGCTGCTTCGTAGTCTACAACTTCCTCGGCTAGTTCTGGCGGACTGGAACATGGCACCAGGGGACATTCGCAAGCAAGGCTTCGCTTCGAAAGTCGACGGCGTAGTGTCGTCAGCTTCTAATACCAGTGCCACCTGCACGGCCAGTGCTAAGGGCGCAGGCACCGAGCGTGATTTTGCGCTAGCTAGCACAAGTTTCATCCCATACGTGATCGATTTGGTGGCCATCACCGACGTGCCGTGGAAAACACATTGTGGTCTTCTTCTGAGGTTCCGAGGCCAGGGGGCCCAGTTGCTCACCCGTTCTTTGGGGCTTCCGTCTAAGTTGCCCCAGGTCCCCCGCCCTTCCTCCCTCCCCTCTCCTGGCTCCAAGTCCTCGACTGCAAGAAAGAAACGAGCTTTTCAGGTAGCATCTGCTCGGGAGAAGGTCCGTGCAGAGTGTGATGATCTTTTTGGGGATGTGGTAGGGGATCCTGGCTCGACGCCGCCTGGCGAGATTGGCTCGCAGGATTTTGGCGAGGAGCCGCCCTCCCATCCGAATGCTGCAGGTAGCATTTCCGAGCGAGGTCACGAAGAGGACCTGTTTGCAGATCCCTTTGAAGATTTCGACCCTTTAGATTTTCCTGACGAAGAGGAGGGCCCCTGGGCCAGCGAGGGCAAATTTGGGGCGCGTGATGGGGCCCAGGAGCCTTCCGCGCCTGGGAGTCTGGGCCCTGGAGTTCTGCCTGGCAGTTT